GGATTTTTTTTTCCAGTGTGGCTTCGGGCTCTTCCTCTAGGATAGGCATGCCCCGGCCGTCGTGCTGACCGCGGCGTGCTGCGCTGCACGCGGGACGTCATCAGCCTGTTACCTTCCTCGGCCTGCCCGGCCTGCGGGACGATATTGCATGATGACGACCGTATTAGCCAAAGGCAAAGGGACCGGACCGTCGGACCGCACACGGCGGCGGTCGGGCCGTGATCTCCCCCTCCCTGCCATGGATGCGCGCGCGCATTCCTGTTGGTGTTATTAGGATGGACAACGTTTTATTGCGCGCGAGCCATTATAATTAGCACTGGCTTATTTATATCCAGTTTTCGGTGGCCCCCGCATAAACGCACTCTCACACACACAGTGTGCTCACGCACTCACACACACAGACACACACGGGGCCCACGCACGCGCTGTCGTGTATTACAAGTTCATCCTCGCGGGAGAGCACACGCCTCGCTAACGCGGACCAGATCGTCTTTCCGGGCCACTAAACCGCGTCTCGCTCTCGCGCCCCTGCGAGGCGGAGACACCCCACTAGTGCGAGAGAGAGCACTGAATCGGCCCTTCGAATTTCGTTACTTCAATCTGAATCTGCGGGTGCGTTGGCAGCAGCATGCCCGCGGCCCGCTATATTGCTCCTCGTTGACGACGTCGTTGACGTCGTTGGGCACACGCGGTGCGGACGGCGTCGACGCCGTGCGGGGCCCCACGGCCGCACGCACGTCGCACGCGAGCAGAGCGGAGCAGAGGCACGGCCGGGGCGTGCTGGAGGCAGCCTGGAGGCCGGGCGTGCTTCCGTTGGGCCCCTGTACCTGCAGTGCAGTATGCAGCCCACGCGCGTGGCGCGGCGTGGCGGGGCGTGGCGGGGCGTGGCGGGGCGTGGCGGGGCGTGGCGGGGCGTGGCGGGGCGTGGCGGGGCGTGGAGCAACTTGTCAAGCTTCGACCTACAAGTCGAGTGCACCGCCGCCGTCGGGCCGTCCGTCCGGCTGGAGGGAGACGGACGACGCAAACAATTTCGCCGCGAAAACAACAACAAAAACAAAGCCTTTTGGTGTGTCGTTTCTGCGGCGACGGTGGCGACAGTAACTGGCCTCCCGTTCTCGTTGTCTCGCACTGTCTCTCCGTCTCGCTCCGGGCACCACACTGGGGGAAATAGATTCGCGGTTCAATGAAACTTTTTCCCATCTCGACTCCGTTGCCATAATGCCTCTGAGCCCCGCCCCGGCGGTTGGCGACCAACCCCGCCCCGCCCCGCCCCGCCCCACCTTCAGAGTGTATCCTACGACGGGGGCCCCGAGGCGCCGGTGCGGCCAGGCGGCATCGCCTCGCGCTAGGGGAGTTTTCGCGCGTGGGTGCGGCCGCAGTGTGTGTGTGTGTGTGTGGTGTGTGTGTGTGTGTGTGTGTGTGTGTGTGACGGGGTAAAAAAGGGAGGGGGTCGCTTCCTGTTATTTGGCGGCGGAGGAAGGGACTCGAAAAAGCGCGCCAAACTGCGGCGCCACGGCGACGGGGCGACGGCGTAGGCCGTTAGGGGTCGTGCTGCTATGGGGGATGCTGTTGTAAGACGGGGCGGGGAAAAGGGGGGGGGGGAGGGATTAGAGGGGGCAGGGGGAAAAGTGAAAGGGGTTGGCGGGCTGGGGAGATTAGAAATTAAAACCGTTCTCCCTCTCGCCCACGTGATAAGGCCCGGTTATCTAATTAGCCGTGGCGTGGCTAAGAGGTGGGAGAGAGATGGGGGGGGGGAATGTAGCGGCGCCGGCCGGGGTCAGGCCCGGGGGGCGTCGGCGGAGGGCGCCGGTCTCGTGGATTATATTCTGCGCGCGTAGCGAAGTCTGCCGCGCGCGGAGTCGGTCGGGGAAGGGCGGGGGGGCTTTTAATGTGGTCTCTACGAGACGCACAAACGGCCCGTGCACTCTGTGTGTGTGCGTGTGTGTGTGTGTCTGTGTCTGTGTGTGTGCAGTGGGGGTGAGGCGCCGCTAATGGCGATAGGGCGGACACCGCGGCCTTATCTTTGGCCTAGAATCAATGAGCCGCATTGGTGCTAATTGACAGAACAACGCGGTGCGACGCGGTGCGGCGCGGTGCGGCAGCGGACTCACTCCGACAGTCTCTCTCGCACGTTGCACGGGGCGCTCCGTGAGTGCGAGAGAGACTGTCGGAACCAGCCTGCAGGACGGCCTTCTGGATGATGACCGCCCTCACCGCCACCTCAGTGCCGCACCGGACGCCGCAGCGCCGCAGCACCTCCCCGTCGACGAACGCCCTGGCTTTGCAGTGCCTTGCCGCCGCCGAAGCCTTCGGCCAGTAAATTAACCCTTGCGGTGCACCAACACACCGACCACGCCACTGCTGCAGTGTCGCTGTCTCTCTCACTCTCACGGGCCGTTCCCCTAGGGGTGCGAGAGAGACAGAGCGACGGGGAAGGGCCAGCGGGGTGCGTAGCACAGCAGGGCCGCCCGTTTTCGCTATGACTTATGGCAGGTGGCACCGCCCACGCCGTAACACGCAGTACGCAGTGTACGCAGTGTACGCAGCCACCCCTTGGAGATGAGCAGTCGCCGCATGCGCACGCACGCTCCTTTGACACACACACCACCTATTGGTTGGGTAGCTTATCTGTGACTCCGCGTCACGACCCGTCCCCAGGAGCTGCCCGCCGTCTGCGCCGTCCTCGTCGTGGCCAATCGCGACTGTGACACAACGGCCCGCAATATCGCCCCGACGACGCTCCGCCAGTGTAGAGGCGGAGAGGCTTCTTTGGTGGCCCCGTCCGCGAGAGAGCCTTTCGCCGCCGTGGTCGGAACGGCGAGTGTGATCGGGCAATAAACCCGGACCGCTCTCGCGCTCGTCTTGGCGGCCGGTCCAGTGAATTGGGGCGACGCGGCCCGACTCTTTACAGCGCCGATTAGATTTTGATCGCCGCCCCGCCCTTGTCGCCCTGTCGCTCTTCGGGGTATCGGCCTGAGCAAACACTTTGCCGAGTCTTTCCAAGTTTTACTTATAGCTCGTTACTCCTGGAGGCACTAGCTTCTAGCAGTCTGCGGCGGTCGCGCTGGCCGTCTGACCGTCACAGTGCGCACTCCCGGGTGCCGATGGCTCCGCGTCTCCGTTTGGAACTAAGAAGCCGCCTCTTGATTGGTTGGGTTCACAACGCTGGAGGCCTTGGACCGCGACTGGCTGCTGGTCGCCACGGCGTCGCCACGGCGTCGCCACATGCACTACGTATTGCTGGGCCCCGCAGTCATCGCCTGAGTTGACTGTCTCCTTTGATTCCAGGAAGCTAAGCCCCCCTCCCCCCTCCGCCTGCAGCCCGAGGCGTCAAACAGGCAGCAGGACTCGCTGACAAGGCAGTCAGTTGTGTCGGTCGGTTGGGCTTTCAGTCAGACAGATGGCCGGCCGGGACGTCGACGTCGAGTCAGCCGAATGGTGTGCTGGGCTGGGCTGGGCTGGGCTGGCCGCTGTCTGATTCCGATTCCGATCGGCGCCTTGCCTTCTGAGACGGCCGTGCCCGGCCGTGGCACAGTGGGCCAGAAGACCGGCGCCGGCGGCCGAAACTCTAGACGCGTTTTGAGCTCCAGAGTCGCTGAACAGGACTCGAACCGAGCGCGTGACCCCACCAATGGATTGCTCTCCGAACGAGGAATCCATTGGTGGGGTCACACGGTCGGTTCAAGCCCCCTTTAGCGACTCTGGAGCTCAAAACGCGTCCAGAGCTTTGGCCGCCGCCGCCGGTCTTCTGGCCCACTGTGCCGCGGCGCCCGACCCGCATGGAAGTCATGGAAATCCGATTCCCACAATAAACGTTCCCCGAAACGGAAAGTGGACAAGGCGCTGGCCTTTTTGATTCGGGTCCGACCGACTGGGCGGGTCCTCCATTTTCCGTCATCCAGTCTTACGCCCTCGGCGTCGTGGGACACCTGTCGCTAAATCTGTGAGCAGCGCCTCTGTGACCGCCGGTGAAACACTAATCTCTATGGCCACATCTGTGACCGCCTCCGTGACCGCTTCTGCGCTTGCCCCCCTCCCCCCCTCCGCCGTGACCACCGCTGTGACTGGGGCCGCACTCTCGAGCGTGACCCCCCGCACGTCGCCACGATGTGTGGCCCATATTTACGGCGTGTTTGGGCGGCCGGCACGCGCGTGTGTGTGTGCGTGTGTGCGTGCGACACGCTTGTCACAGCAGTGCCCAATCGGATCAGCCCTTTCTCCCCCCCCTCTGAATACCTAAGCAGAGGACACACACACACACACACACGCACACAATTCACACATGTATAACTCACAGGGGGCAATAGGACTCATACATTTGGGTTCGGAGCCCGCCAACGCTTTGAAAATATATTGCCTTTGTCTAGGGCGCGCCGCGCCACACTCACACACCTGCGCGTGACAACACACACACACACACATATACACACAAACGAGGATGCGAGACGCTTAGCGGCCGCATCGATGCACAATGTGAGGTCAGCCCGGCCGCCGAAGGGCAGTAGGGACTGGAGAGCCTTAGTTGGGAGCACGCTTTGCCAGTGCAGTGTCGCGACGCGACGGCGGCCCCACTGTTAGTTGACCAAGTGGGTCACGCAGGCTGACGTCGCGTACCGACTCCAGCCAGTGCGGCAGGCGAAGCAGGGCACTATGAAGGACTCCAGGCTCGCAGGCTGGATCGCTGGATTCCAGTGTGGTTGCAGCACACTGTGCCGCCACAGTGGAAGGCCGGCCTGGAAAAAAGCGTCCCGCCTGCGCCGCCCCACTACAGTGTGTCCCCGCTCGGGGCGGATGTCCATTGAGACTCCACTGGACCGAGTTGAGGGCGGGCGGGACGAGCTATCTCACCCAGACGGCCCGGCCTGCCGGGGTCGTTGTCTCCTGCCACGGTAGCTCTGCAGTGGCGTTGTAGCCGCGCGGGTAAAAGGGTCAACCCCGGCGCCAGAATCCGCGGATCGATTCCCGCCGCTTGCTAACCCGAATTTCTTTTTTGATGGCAGGCATCGTGTGGAGCTTCCGCTTCCCGTCCATCGGCTCGCTGTCCCGGAAGAGCAAGGCGAGCCTGTCGCAGCCCGTCGCCCGGCCACACATCGACACGCAGCGATGGCTCTCCGTGCTCGACCTGGACCAGTACGGCGACCTCTTCCGCAAGTTCGACGGCGTCGAGGTAAGTCCGAGGAGTCCCAGGCCCGGGTTTCTGTCCTGGCATTCAGTTTGTTTTATTTTTCCAAGGCTTTACCCTCATTCATTCGTTCGCTTTTCCAGGATTTGCTCCATTTCAACGAGAGCGACATCAAAGAGCTCGGCGTTCGCAACTCGTCCCACCGAGCGAGACTCATGTCCAGTCTCGTCGCGCTCAAAGCAAAATATGAAAAAGGTAAGCGACGTTTCGACTTTTCCATTATTTTTGCTGTACAAAAGGGGAACGTCGGAGCGCGTCCAAATGGGGCGGGGGTCCATTTTTTTTTTCGTCCCTCGGCAACAGGACTCGTGTTATCCTGGCCTCAGAGACCAGATGCACGATATCCTGGCTTACCTGGTTGTGTAGACACTGTTGGTGTGTGCAGTGTGGAAACTGTTATCAGGCGAGCCCCCATGGGGCCCTTTTGGGATGATAAGGCAGATGCACTCACACACACGCACGAAGGGGGTTCCCACCGCATCCCTTTTACGGCCGAGCGTGCGTCAATTCGCACTGTCGGGGCACTGTGCACCTGAGTGGGAGGGAGAGGGAGGGGCACTGCCAAAAAATGAAACTAAACAAGCTCTCCCGCTGCAGCAATCATGCCTCGTCTGCGTACCGAAATGCGGTTTTTATCTCGATATCTCGATCTCGGATCGACCGGCGTGGCTCCGATGCGATCGGCGTGCCGATCACGAACTGGGCTGCAATTACATCGAACTGGCGGCGCGCGGCGTGGGCTTCGCAAGGCGGTGCCTTTGCGCGACTGCATCCTCCCGGTGACTAGACGCTGTTTGGACAGATTTTCCCGGAACGGAACCGGAAATGCGGCGCCATCTTCCGTCCGGATGACACCGTCACTGACGTCGGCGTCGGTGTCGGTTTGGCGCTTCGTTTGTTGTCGTTTGGCACCCGGAGCGGGCCGGGCCGGGTTGGCGGAGTGCGGTGGGGCAGGGCGTTAGGCCCGCAGTTCAGTTCGTCGCCGCGCCGCTGGGGGGCGCTGCCGGCCCCGGCGTGGCGCGCCGCGCGGCGATACCCCACGCCGCAGAGGGAAGGCGCAGCGCAGAGTGCAGTGGCGCGGGGTATCGCCGACCCGGCGTCTGCCCGGCGTATTGCCCGGCCAAGCCACTCGCGGGGTAGACTCGCACTTGCACTACCGGCCAGTTCTTCACCGCCTTGTCTTTGTCCCTCTGGTTGCAGGCACGAGGCGCGTCGACAAGGCGCAGAGACACAGCGTGGCCGTGGACCCGCGGCGCCTCGTCGACCTCAACGCACAGTAAGTCCGACAGTCTCTGTCTCTCTCGCACTCATGGGACGTCTCGTAAGGGTCCGAGAGAGACAGAGTGATGCATGCGAAACGAGGGAAAACACGCCGTCGGAACGGCAGTGGCGTGACGAACGGCCGTGCCCGCGGCCATTCCATCCGCCGAATGGATGCCGATGGCGCCGTACTCCGTGGTACTGCCGACGGAATGGTCAGGGGGCTCTTCGCCTCCGCGGGGACGCGCCGCTGTTTTGTTTACGGTTCGGTTTATCCGCGGAGAGGGATGTGTGTCGTCAGCCCGGGCGGGGAGGCAGCGCGGCGCGCGGACGTGCCCGAGGGTTTGCCTACCTCCGCGGCGACGGGGCCCGTTGGGGGGACTCTCAGTGGGGCCCGGGCACGCTCCGCGCTCCCAAAGGCGTTGACGGATTGCAGCCCTTTGCGAAGGGCGGCGCGTGGCCCAGCGTGATGGATTGCGCACACATACACACGCAGCGCGACAGTTGTCACCGCGTCTTGACGCAGTGGTGTGAGTGAGTGCGCGCGGCCCGTGTGTGTGTTTTACGTATTTCCTTGTTTTGTTTTTGCGTTACTGGCCCGTTTTCTGCCGTTGCGCCATTCGCGGAACTGAAGTCCATTTCGGGCCGCTGCAGCGGCGTAGACTTGGATTTACTGGACTTGGAAAGAAAAGAAGGCACAGTAATTCAAAAGGCGAGCAGCTAACTCTTCGGAGGCGCGGATGGCTTCCATCCCTCTTCGCGCCGCGGGGCCGCCTTCACACTGAGAGTCTCTCTCGCACTCATGCGGCAGAGACAGAGCGACGCAAACGGCGCTCTCGGAACGAGTCTGCCGCCTGCTTTGTGCGAGCGGCAGCATCTCTATTAGTCTGAATCGAATGCGCCCCTCCCGTCCCCTCCGCTTTGGGCGCCGTCGGTAACTTCGTCTTGCAGCGCTCGCTCGCTCGGGGGGCTGCGCGGTCGGCGCCCCTTCCCCTGTTTGCTCTCACCGCGGTGCTTATGTGCTCCATTTTGTTTAAAACTAATCTGGAAGTTTGGCTCCGCGGAGGGCGCGGCTCGTCACGGCCCGGACGGAAGGCGCTTTGCTTTGTGCCGAATCCGAACAGTGCTTCCGTCGCTCCGTCTCTCTCCCACGCACGGGGCGTGCCGTGGCGGTGCGAGAGAGACAGAGCGACGACGGGGAGTAAGCAGACGGACGGACGGACGACAAACGGCGATGCACGGATGGCGTGGAATCGGACTGGCACACTGGAGAGAGGAGCTCGGCCAAGCGTGGTCGCGCGCTGCTGGTTGCCTAGGGACGGCGACAAAAAGACAAAGCCTGTGTGTGTCCGAGAGAGACAGAGTGTGGGCCGGGTGGGGGTGGAAGTGAGTGAGAGAGAGAGAGAGAGACAGGGTGGGGGAGAGGGATGGAAGGTGGAAATTGTTGGCAGCGGATGGTGTTTCGCCCAGAGATGCCGTGCGCGTTGCGGATGAAGGGGGCGGGGGAGTGCAGGGGGGCTTTGTGGAGACATACTTTGCCGGTGTGTGTGTGTGTGTGTGTGGTGTGTGTGTGTGTGTGTGCTGGAGCCTCCAGAAAAGACGGGAGAGGAACTTTTCCCCACCCACGCCGCGGCGGCGTCGAGAAAGGCGGACTTAAAGTGGTGGCGCTTTCGAAAAAGAAAAACACCGAAGAAAAAGAGAAAAATATGAAACAATAGTGCTGAGGGGGTGTGGGGAGTCGAACCCGGGCCCCCGCAATGCGTCGCTACTTCGCACGTCCTGCGAGGCGCCACTCTCCCTCCCTGGGGCTGCAAAGGCCGTAGTTTCCTCCCCTTGAGATAAAATCGGCGGGTGGGGCGCAGTGCCGCCACTATGTACTAATGAAGGGCAAAATGCTCACTCGCGCGAAATGAACATCGCGGAGATATCGTGCTGCACTGTTTATTGTTGTGCAGAGGCTGCCTGCCTGCCTGGCTGCCTGTCTGTCTGTCTGCCTGCCCGCCTGGCCTGGCTTAGTGTCTGACCAATGCCGGTCCGCCCCGCTTCGCCGAGTAAGGAATAGCCAGGGAAAATGAGACTCGAGATAAGAAAGCACGAACGGCCGCGGCCGTTTCCAAAGGAAAAGTAGAAAATTCTACTGCGAAATTCCCTACAGCTCCGCGTTAAAACTTTCACATCATTTTCCCGGCTTTTATTCTTTTTTAAACTGACGTGAGAAATCGTTTTTCGAGGGGGTTGCTGGCAAGGCGGCTACTGAACTCCCTCGGGGCGGAGGGAGGGGAGGGGGAACACCAGGAAGACAGGCCCAACCGCACGGAGGGCAGCCGAGGGGAAAAAATGGAGGAACATGAAGCAAAGCTGATGACGAGTAAGAAGGCGGGGATTGAAATGTGATTGTGGAGAAAGGGAGGGGGAGGGGGAAGTGGGCACAGGGAAGCCCCTCGGGGTGTGTACAAAATGAAGTGGGGAAGTTTATAGTGGTCAGGGCGGACGCAGCGGACGGCTTGGCCAGTGGGGTTGGCTTCTCGAGGCGAGGCGCCTCCAAAGATAACAAGAAGGGCTTGGACTTCCGAGTGTCTGGTCAAGGAACATAAATACAACGGCGAGGTTAAAAAAATAAGACTAGAACGAAAGCAGGTGATAAGAAAAAATAAAGGTTTGTAAAAATTACTAGAGATCAAAATTTACAAAACGGAAAAAAATTGTCTTTGAAATAAAATGTTGAAAAATCTGGAGGGAATCTCTATAGAGATTAACGATGGCGATGAAACGAGGCTGCGCGGTGTCTTTGCGACGTTGTTCTTGGCGGGAAAGAAGCGAGCCTTTCTTCCTGCAGGTCGGCGGCCTGGATGGGGCTGCTGCTGACGGTTTATTCATCGCCGGTTTGTCGCTAACGAGCTCTCTCTCCCTTTCCCTCTCCCTCCCTCTCTCTTCGGCCAAGGGAAGCGCCAGCCATGAGGCGCCAAACGCTCTTAACAAGTTGGCCGGCGTAGGCAACCCCACTGTGCCGGCGTGCGGCGCGTTGCCTACCGCCACGGCTGACACTGTGAACTTGCCTTGCATTGCCTCGAGCAGCGCAGGCTTTGACCGAAACTTTTCAGAGTTGGCCAGCCTTCCCTTCCCTAAACCCGAGGTGACGTTTTAATGCACCCGGTATCCCACCTTGTTGTTTTTGTTGTTGTTGTTGCCGGGGTGGGAGGGCGGCGGGGCGCTCTCTGCGCTGCTGGACCGGCCCGGACCGGTTCTGCCACGGAATAAGTGACTAAAGTTGCCGCACGACCGCGTGCACCGCGTGCACCGCGCACCGACTGCCCGCCTTGCAAGGCGCTGTGCGTCTCGGAGGCGGGAGAACACTTCTAAAATCATCGAACTGACCGCCGTGGTTCGAACGACTTTGGATTCCTGTGGGTGCTTTTTTTCGCTGCTGCTGTGAAACGGGTGGCGTAATTCGGCGGTGCTCGCCACGCAGTACGTTCTGCTCTCCACAAAGCCCTGGCCGAGGCCCTGGCCGTCCTCGTCCCACGGCAAACATTTCATTTATCTTTCAATTTGGCCGGCGGCGCTGGCAGTGCGCTAGCAGCCCTGCCGCCCCGCTTGCTGCTCAAAGGCCCGGCCCGGCCCGGCCCGGCCCGGACGGGGGAGAAGGGGGAGGGGAGGGGATATTTGCCTGAATTTCGGTGAGCAAAGGACCTCCCTCTCCCTCTCTCTCTCTCCCTCAGCGCCCTACCTGAGCAACAAAGAAAGGGGGAGTTGCTAAAGGGACTGCATGAGGCGGCCGTCATTGTGTGTTGGTGTGCGCGTGTATGCACGTGTGTGTGTGTGTGTGTGTGTGTGTGTGTGTATTTACTGCTCGTGAAGGGGGGTTAAACAGGCGAAATGGGTTCCGGCCGCCTTTCTTGTGTTTCGTGTCGCAAGGGCTGGGGAGTCCAGAGGGTGAGGGTGCAAAAGGGTGAGGGCGCCTGGGCAGGAAAAGAGTTCGGGGGAGCAGGTTGGCTGGCACAGGTGTGTTGTGGAAGGGGGGGGGGCAGGTTTCGACGCTGTTGCCGGCCTAATGCCGCGTCCCATTAGCAGAGAATTAAAAGGGAATTAAATGCACGCTGTCGCGCGCGCTCGGTTTACTCTCTCGCCGGCCGGTGAATCATGCGGACATTCGATGCAGGGGACCGATCTGCGGCGTGTGGGCGTGGCGCCAGGTGGGTGTGCGTGCAGTCCCTGCTTCCTTTCCGAACTGTCTTTCTCTGTCTCGCTCGCACTCATGGGGCCTCCTGTAAGGGTGCGAGAGAGACAGAGCACCGGCCGCAGCCCCTGTTCGCAAACAGCCCGCACTGGACTTTGGGCGGGAGTTTGCTCGCCAGTCGGCCCCAATTTTTGCCACCGCCATTTATTTTTAGGGGTCGCGTTATTCTACGGGGGAAGTCCTGGAAAATAGCGAAACTGATCGTCATTGCGTGAGTGTGTGTGTGTGTGTGAGCGCTGGCTGTTGGACGGAGATAACGACGACACAATTAACGCCGGACAGTCATTGTCAGCTCAGCGGGAATAGAATAACTCGCTCAGGGCGGGGCGGGGCGGGGCGGGGTGCTTGGCACTGGCCGAGCCGACTCGAGCCCTCGCCGCCCTACTCCGCGCTGGATCCATATGGATGTCCAATTTGCCCGCACATGAATATCCACAGGCAGGCAGGCCGCGTGGGTGCGAACAGTGTGCTAGCGAGCCGGGGCTGGCGGCGCGGTGCGGTGCGGCCCAATACGCACCGGACGTCAACCAGGAATCCGGCGGAATCCGGAGCGGTGCCCACGAGGCCACCCCTCCGCGCCGTGCGAGGCCCCGGAGGCCCCGGAGGCCCGGAGGCCCCGAAGGTGAGGGGTGCGGGACGGTAGTGATTGAAGTTCGTTTATTAAGCCTCCAAAGGGCCGGGGCGCCCTGTGGTCCCTGCGGTCGGCGGCTGAGTGATGTGGAGGGGTTGACGGCGGGGTGGCCATGGGTCGGGCAGGTGGTGGGGGGCGTGAGATGAAG